AGACATGGGGATAACTTCACTGTTTCAGGGATAAGTAAAGACATGGGGATAACATCACTGTTTCAGGGATAAGTAATGAAGCAGTGATAACGTCAGTGTTTCAGGGATAAGTAATGATGCAGGGATAACATCAGTGTTTCAGGGATAAGTAATGATGCAGGGATAACATAAGTGTTTCAGGGATAAATGATGATGCAGGAATAATGTCAGTGTTTCAAGGATAAGTAATGAAGCAGGATTAATGTCAGTGTTTCAGGGATAAGTAATGGTGCAGGGATAACATCAGTGTTTCAGGGATAAGTAATGAAGCAGTGATAACGTCAGTGTTTCAGGGATAAGTAATGAAGCAGTGATAATGTCAGTGTTTCAGGTATAAGTAATGAAGCAGTGATAACGTCAGTGTTTCAGGGATAAGCAATGAAGCAGGGATAACATCAGTGTTTCAGTGATAAGTAATGAAGCAGGGATAATGTCAGTGTTTCAGGGATAAGTAAATGATGCAGGAATAATGTCAGTGTTTGAGGGATAAGTAATGGCACAGAGAGAATATGTGTACTTCGAATAAACGTCAAAGTAAGTTGAATAGTCTACTTGGTGGTTCAGAGTTTACATAAATATACTGAACGTATACACTATTAAAATATTTGAGAAAAGTTAAAAAAAGTGGGAGTTACATGAGACTTTCCTTACAAACATCAAAATGAGAAGAAACAAAAATGTTACGAGACTTTCATTTTTCTTAACTTTTCTCAGATATTAAAAAAGTGTATACCTTTTCATATTTCCAAAGCTATATATTTTATTTTGAACCAAGTGAATTTTTTTATCTCAACATCATTTAAGTATGAAATGTGTGAGTTAATCTCACAAATGGAACATGACTCTGATTTAATACTTTCAGCTGCTTACAGTCTCTAAATGAGTAATGTTAACAATTTCTTTGATCAACAAGCACTGTTTTTTTTATTGATGGGGCTCAAAAACAGTAAAAATAAGATCATTATTGTTATGTTAGAAAAACAGCTATTTAAAGTAAACATCAAATACTCCACCAAGCTTACTGTCCAAATAGAATATAATCAATGCTCAAAATACATTTTTCTATACAACCTGTATTACATTATATTTAAAACTTCTACATTTTTTAGTTCTATTCTTCTCTATCTTTTTAACCTCAAAAGCTATGTTTAATTTAACGGATAACCTAAATACTCCTCACAAATGAATTCCTAACCCTACTGGTAAATAATTATGAATTAACTTTAGTCACTAGAGGGATCTCTCTCCAAGCGAAGTCTAGCATTGTCATCTCAAGTAACTTAAATGCAAGATTTAAAGAGCTTCTTCATGTCATGAATAATACCCAGATTTAAAAAAAATTTGCATAAACAAAACCTTATCCCCAAATTACCATCTTGAGTCACCTTGCCAATAAATAATTTCTGTTTTTGACCAGATACAAAGGTTAATTGCCAATGTGTCATATAAACTGAAGCATTAGTATTGTATAGGTTAATTATCACTGTGATATGTACAATGAACTTTTGTTACTTCCTGTACTATAAGTTTAGAAATGAAAAAATCAATATCTCTCTCTATCTTACTTTTCTGAACCAATCTGGCAACTATTTTGCCAATTATTTGCTACTTTTCTGAGGTTTCATTTTTAATACTTAAATTCTTTTTTGACATTTAACCAACCTAGCACATCTATAGAAATGCTTTTAGAATAATCTTTCTCTACCAAATAGTTGTAAAATTGGTTCAGGAAAGTAAGATAGAAAGAAATTTAGATGTTTTCTTTTATCATTTCCAAACTTATAGTATAGGAATGACAAACGTTCATTGTACATATCCCAGTGATAATTAACCTTTACAGGCTAGTCTTGACATTTATTGGTTGTGAGATTCAGTTCCTATGGTTTCTCACCCTAGATCGTTTATTGCAGAAGTTTCATGCAAAACTACACAAAGGCCTACATGTGCAAAAATGTCCTTAATTTTCAACTGATAAACTAGATGGAAGGCAGCTAGCCAACAGCATCCATCACCAACTCTTGGATTACTTGTCTGACCAAACAGAGGGACTTGACTCTTGGTCTTAAAGCTCACCCATGGCCCTAAACACACGCAGAATACTTTTATGGCAGCAGGCCATTAACCACGAACCTTTTGGTTCACAGTCCAGCACATACCTGCATTTTATACAATAATGAACATCAGCACAGAAACTAAGTACTGTTTACTGAAATCCTACTCTGGAGGTTATGATACCACTAAGTAACAACATTCCAGTCATGTTATTTTAACGATGTTTTACGATCAATTTAATAGTTTATTAGCAATACATCTTATACAGTGTGCATGCTTCTCAACATTTTAACATTCAGAAAGTAGAGTTATCATGTTACATATTGTAAGAGAGAATATCAGTTAAACAATATGAAATAAACATTATTTACATAAATATCTGTATATTCCAAGTTTATACTTTCTATTTACCTTGGAATTTCTGTGGCAACTTCATGATCAGAGCACGTGCCAGTAGGTTCATTGTCCATAAGATCATATCCACTGGTAATTTCTTCATCAACATAGTATGCACTGCTTAAGTGTTCAACTGTTTTTAGAAACTATAAATTTGATGTATATGACACATTAGATAGGAGTGTATAATCTAATTCAATACATTTATATGATAACAAAAGTAAACAAATCAATCACTAGATGTTTTCTTTTTTTTGTGATACAAGTGTATTTCCTAAGTTATGCTACAAGTACATTACTGGTTTATAATTAACGGATATAATTAAATAGCATTTAATAAGATTTAAATATACTTCAGTAAGGATCTTTGAAGTTGCAAGCCATGATGTTCAGTAAACGAGATGCAAGATGTTCACTTACATGAAGAATGTGGGTTACATTATTCTAGAACAAAATGTTCACTTACATGAAGAACGTGGGTTAAATTATTCTACGACAAAATGTTCACTTACATGAAGAACGTGGGTTAAATTATTCTAGATTTTAGCTCAAGCCTTTCCACAAAAAGATAGTCATCTACTAATCATATTAACTCTAGGTCATTTAAAATCATAATATTGGCACTGATTAAAAGTTTGTTGTCAATTATTGCTAGCAACTACATGTTCTTACCAGGTATTAAGGTATTTTTAAGAGATATACTAAAAAATGTGCCAGATAGTTTCAAAATACACAAATATATATAATTAAACATCACATGAACAAAATGTTGCAATGTCTAGTAAACTTTTACTATCTCTACATCTTGCTTCAAATTGTTTAGATTTAGAAAAACTTGATTTTCCTCCCTTTGTTTTTTGGTTGCAAAAGCACAAAGAACTTTTTTAAGGCCTACCTTCTTGAATTTAGTAAAAGCTTATTTTATATGTAAGTTGATTACCTTGCATTTTGTCTGTTTACAAAAACAGTTTCCAGGCCAGTAAGACATAACAAAGAACATAAAATGAGCATAAAACACTGTTTCTATTTAAAGTAATTTTAACATAAAACCTTTCTTGATTTTTGCAACTCTACAAAGTTTCCATCCTCACCAACTTGATAAAGCCAGGCCTGCATAGAGTTATACAGTCCCGATGAGACTGCTTAACATAATTACTATGTTAGTTGTCAGGTTTTGTAAGGCTGAATTCTTTACAGTAGGTGTCTGTGACTAGTTGGCAATAAATTTCAACTATAAACAAACAGCAACACAGTCTGCTTGTTTTAAAATAATATATTAAAACAAATCAGACATATATACAAATATTCATTACACTGTTGGTTATTTCAGTTGTATCCAGAGGTAGAAATAATTGTCTCTTTTTCTTCAAAGTCCACACAGGCTGGTTCAGTTACTTTAGAATACAATTGAGAAGACAAATTATTATTCTCTACTCTGTTATTACAACACAGTCTGTGATAATTTCACTTTAAAAATCACCACTAAACACTCTTTGTCACTAAACTCATGATCATGCAGTCTAGAACTAAATAATGATTTTTGACACATATTCATACCCTGATAGAAGTCTAGAATATTCCATGCGATACTAGATATTCTGATCAAATAATAATTATAAATCAAGCCAATGAGAAACTCAGAAAGTTCTAGCAACATATGCAATAATGTCACTATTGTAAACAATCACTAATTCATAAAAATTGAACTACCTGTTTGGTGTTCCGGAATCCCTTTTCAACATTTTCTGACATTTCTTCAATAGCTTCCAACTGTTGCTGCATCATTGCAAACTGTTCCGGTAGGCTTGAGGCTTTGTTCTTCTGCTGTACCTCCACTTCTGGTTTATCTATGCTACTGAACATTATCATATTAATATTGTTTATAAACAATAAAACATTTTTGATTATTAAACCAGGAACTTTACACAAATATCTAATGTTCAGAATTAGTACAGTTTTTAAGTTAAAACAAATGCACAGGAATTAATTTACACATATTAAACTGATTACTTAATAACTAGATCTGGATGATTTAATAGATTAATCAATTATTTATCTAATCAAAATTAGATTTCCAATTATTAGTTTTTGATTATTCCAACAATTGATTAATCAATATTATGATGAAATCAATCATAACAAAAATAATCAACCGGTAGAAATTAGGGTTTTCAGTTATTCCAACTATCCAAGTAAATGAAATATTACTATTATGTTTGTTTGTTGTTACGCATAAAACTCGTAATGGGCTATCTGTACTCTAACCAATACTGGTATCAGTGTGCCAGCAAGTCCTGGTGATTCGGGATGGAAGGGTGCCTCATGATTCAAAGGCCTTTATTTTTTAGAGTTTGATTCCTATTGCCATCAAATTTGCTCACCCTGTCTTTAATGGGAAAGCTTCTAAAGCTATCTGCCACTGTAACTAATTTTGAATTGCTGACTAGAAGGAAACAACTGGCCTGGCAGCACCCATCTCCAGCTCTTGGGATACTTTTTTCTTGTACTTGGATAACAGTATTCTGGTTTGAAGAAACTGTACTAATTGATTAGCTGAATGTAATCGATTAATGAACCTGTTGATTAATTGATTTGCAAGTACCACTTATCACTGAGCTCTATAAGTAACAAGGAAATTATACAGGAGTTTTAGATCTTACTTCATAGAGTCTCTAGATTGTTAACAACCTGTTAGAATACTACAGCAATTGAATATATAAATATGAAGGTACATAAAATAAATGAAGAATACTGTCTGAACATAAGACAAGTGGTCAAAAAAATACCATACCATTTGGTCCTATATAACATATACAATATTTATAAACTAAATGTCTCCATACAACAGTTTTTCAAGGTATTCAAACTTATTAGGACATTTTGTACCACTTTCAAGTCAGCCACTATGTGAGGTTATAAAAAAAGACTTCATAAGTACACCCACCCCCAATAAAAAAAAAAATGCACCAATTCCACCAGACCAACATCATCCTATCTATTTTCCAGAGAAGTCAATAAAATGTAGGAAAAGCTTAATTAAAAAGACCATCCTGTTTTGTAATGTGTGATAAAACAGGCTGTTTTTAAACACCTCTTGATTATAAATATTTAACATTTAATTAATAATGTACTAACTAATCTACAGCTCCCCATCCTGTTAAAGCTCCTCTAAATGTTGAACAAGTTTCAGTGATATCATCTGTATCTATACATGTGACTAGTTTCATGTTAAACACATTTATAAAAGTCCTACAGTTAATTTTTCAGTCATTATTCAATCAGAATCCAATTCTGATGTAGTTACTGACTACATCTGATAACATACAAATAGTTGGTAATTTCCTGAAATATGCAATTAATGGACTTGTTTATGCAAAATTTAATAATATTCAACCATAATAAATGTATAATACTTGTATTTTTATTCTTGACCATACAAAAATTCATTCAAAGATGATTTCCCTCGTGCAACTGTCATTCAATAAGTAATTTTTATAGTCAATGTTTTAGTCATATTTTTAGAACTAAGGATGAAAAGAAAGGTTTGGCAGCTCAAATTCTACAGAATTGTTTTTAAAAAACTCTTAATTATAAATATTTAACATTTAAAAGATTCCCACTGTCCCTATCTACTATCTAGCGAAACCACAGCCAAGGGAACGGGCTTGGAAAATCACCGAAGATATGTTCCTTTAGAACTAAGGATGAAAAGAAAAGTTTAGCAGCTCAAATTCTACAGAAAATCAAAATTATTAGGCTATTGTGAGCTGCTATTAGAACAAGTTACATTTTATAAGTTGTTGGATTATGCAAAATTTATTTCCATTATATAAAAAAAACTTATCCAAACCTTTCTTTTAAATTTTAAAGACAAAACTTACTGAATTATACTAAAGAAAAATTAATTATATAATTGTGATTTTGATTTCATCCTTTTCTTAGCCTCAACATAAGGCACAAACTTTTAAGAATTTAAATACATTCATTTTTATAAATGAGAACTTACCTTCGGATGAATGAAACGGATGGCTCATTTAAGGCTTCTGACAGAGAATTTAAAAATACAAATAAAATTTTAGTTACTAACAAATAGACTTAAAAAACATTAATGTTAATTAATTATTTTCAACAGAATTGGAATATCCTAAAATTCAGCAGAAATAAAAGCATGGTCTGTAATATTTTCAAATAGTCTGTAATCCCTTCAATTACTGTTTGTAATCCTTTAAAGCGCTGTCTGTAATCCCTCAAAGCCCTGTCTTTAATCCCTTATTTACTACTATTATACCACAAACATTTTTAACAAACATTTAATCATAAACTTTGTAGAACAACATACAGTGGATTATAAAGTTTTTCTTAAATTAGTTTCTGATGTTTGTCTAAAAAAATAATATTTTAAAAAGTTTTCAATATATCTAATTAGATATGTTACTATGGTTCACATTAGTACAGGTATTAACAATCATAACTTTAAAAATCAAAACTACACACATTACTGGTAAGCAATAATAATATATCCCTCTCTATTTAGTCAATTTGTTAAGAGATTAAACTAATGTTGATTACACATGAAAACACTATTATATAATTTAGGTAATTAATTTTGACAAACAAAAAAGTATAATTACAATGATATAAGTTCCCTAACAAATACCATTCTTTACAAATCCTACTAATACAAAACCATTAAAATTGTACTGTTCACAAAAAATGCACAATGAACCAATCAGCAGCATTAACTACATACCACTACTGACAATAATTATATTCCTGTACAGAACTGAATTAGTAGAATTAACTACACACCACTACTGAGAATAATTATATTCCTGTACAGAACTGAATTAGTAGAATTAACTACACACCACTACTGAGAATAATTATATTCCTGTACAGAACTGATCACCAGCATTAACTACACACTACTACTGACAATAATTATGCTCCTGTACAGAACTGATTAGAAGAATTAACTACACACCACTACTGACAATAATTATATTCCTGGACAGAATTGATTAGTAGAATTAATTACACACCACTACTGACAATAATTATATTCCTTTATAGAATTGATTAGTAGAATTAATTACACACCACTACTGACAATAATTATATTCCTGTACAGAACTGATTAGTAGAATTAATACACACTACTACTGACAATAATTATACTCCTGTACAGAACTGATCACCAGCATTAACTACACACTACTACTGACAATAATTAAATTACTTTACTGAAACCATCAGCAGACTCTTCTTGGGTTATTAAATTATTTATATAGAAATATAAAACAAAGAAATGAGAAAGATCTGAAAACATAGGTGGAAATACTTAATACTACTGTGTACAAAACAAAATAATAACAATACTCCAAAGCCATCAGAGTATGAAGGGAAGAAATGAAAATGTTAGTCTTCATGGCTAAGCAGATAAACTATATGATAAGTATTTCAGTTTTGAGATCTACGACACGATTCCAATCTCATAATTTTACATGTTAGAAGAAAACCCTGAAGAATAAATTGGCACAAGCTCACTGCTTACTCCTGTACAAAATACTAGGAGGAGTCTGGTCTCAGATATTATATTTTTTAATATATTTTCTGGAAGAGGATATAAAAGAGTGAAGAAGAGCAACTGAAAGCATATGAAAAAAAAAAAACTCTAAGAAAAAGTGTCTATGTGCAGAAAGTTCCTGATGAGAACCATATTGTGAAAGGGAAGAATCTGAAAGAGGACAAGTAATACACCTAAACAAGGCTACACAATAGGCTATCTGTGCTCTGCCCACCACGGGTATCGAAACCCGTGTTTCTAGTGTTGCGAGTCTGCAGACATGCCACTAGGGGGCTACATAGGAAGTTTCATTTGTTTGTAGTTAGGCACAAAGCTACACAATGCGCTGTCTGTGCTCTGTCCACCACGGGTATCGAAACCCGTGTTTCTAGTGTTGTAAGTCTGCAGACATGCCACTGGGGCTACAGAGGAAGTAATGATGCATAGAAAAGAATGTTGTACAAAACACTTTACCCTTACCTCAAACTAGAAGAATGGAGTTTAATAAAAGAATTGGCTAGCCTAAGCTCCTGTAAATAAAAAAATATATAACCCAAAGAAAATCATAGTAAGAAGAGCATTTTTCGCACACACACAAAAAAGAAATTATGAAAAACTGTCTCAGGAAAAACCTCGATAGAAAAAAGATATTGAAGAAACAAAATCAACAAAGGAGGAGAATGTTAGAAGAAAGCAAAACCATACTTTCAGAAGGAGTACCCAAACTTGGATTGTGTGGTAGTATTGAAAAACGATTACAATACTACTGAACTTAACAACAACACCACACATCACTACTGACAAGAAATAACATACTTTAATATTATAATAACTGCAACAGACAAACCACCACTGAAAACAAAAGTCTAAAATAGTAAACCCATATAGCAATCTATACATGAAATTACACCAAACACTTCAATGTTCACAATGAATCAGTTCTGCAAAGTCTCCATTAATATTGTCACCATTATACTTACCAATGTTAACAGATGATTTAACTACTTCCTTGATGTTTTCTTTTACATGTGGTTTTTCTAAATATTTGTTTTCTACATCGTTGTTTTTCCCAGCTGTGTACAGTTGAAAATTCTGTTCATTTTCCTCCGCTTCAACATGAAAATCAGGATCGGTATTTTGAAGATGACTCACACCTTCGTTGATGACCAAATCTGTCAAGTCTTCCACTCTAACTGGAGCTTGTGAATTTTGGGAATCCTCTATTAGCTGTGAATTCAAATTATAATTGTTCTTACTAAAGACTAATCCCTGTTTTACAGCTGGATTTTCATTAAACACAACGACATCATTATCTGTCTGTAACATCTTTTTGTCCTTTTCTTTAAGAACAACAGATGAAGTTCGTAGCTCAGCATTGGATCCGAAGCCTTTTCTGTGCTGTAAACTCTTTCTGTCTTTTTTTTTTTCAGTGACAACTAATGATTTTTGTGTTTTTTTATTAAATACATCATAATCCTCTGCCTGTGACATCTTTTTGTCTTGTTCTTCAGCCACAACAGAAGAAGTCTGTAGCTCACCATCAGATACAAAATCTTTTCTAGGTCTTAAGTTTTTTCTTCCTTTATTATCTGCAAAGTCTGATGAAATTTGTAAACTGGGCTTTATATCAGCCACATCAGTTTTTCTCTTATAGTCACAATATTCCTTAAATCTTTCTTCTTTATTTTGATATGCAACTTGTAAAGTTTTTTCATAGGCTTGTATTTCTTTGGCCAGCTGAACGTGTCTGTTTTCTTCAGAACTTCTAGAGTTACCTTCTTTTTTTTGTAGATTTATGCTTTCGTTTATTTCGTGTTCACCTTCTTCTTCATCACTGTCTGTCTGGGTTGCAGTGTCTGTGATCAGTGAAAACGATTAACAATTAATCTATAGTCTGCCTTTGGGCAACTATTTTGCTAAAAATATTTTGCAGAATTACAAAAAACAAATGCATGTTTCCTGAAAAATCTCTAGTTATATGACATAAAAAACAAGAAGATATTTTCTCTCTCTCAGGTATCAGTCTTTTTTGTTAATAAATATTGTCATCTGAACAATACTATTTACCATTGGTACAACCAAAACTAGGCTCACCAATAACATGCCATCTCTAGCTTCAATCTTTTTTAAAAAATCATGAAAAATCATATAAGTAGGAACTGCTTGTCACTATGTTAAATCTGCTACTCCAACTTTACGTTTACCTCCCTAAGGTACAGGGGCTAACCTACCCTTGTAATTCTTACACAAGCACTATGTCATCCTTTATCTTACTGTTCTACATCAATTAATCTATTTTTGTAATTTCTAAGCTGTGATCTAGAAAAGTTTAATTCTCTCAAGCATTCTCCTCAATATTTATGGAGTTTTTAAAGTTAACATTTTCCTAAACTGAATATGTATTTCTGAATAGATACTTAACTCCAATCACTAGCACATGATCATATGCATTGAAAGTGGTGAGGAAAAGTGGTGCAGAGAGGTAAGTATCTATTGGAAACACTGACATTCTCCCTGCATCATTACTTATTACTGAAGAAGCTGAAATGGGTAAGGAACATGTTAACTTCAAAAACGTTAACTTACCTCTGTGCACTACTAAGAGCTAAAATCCAACATTGAAGAGGGTGGAAGGGCTGATGCTTTACAAGTACAAAGATTAACTTCTTTCTGAAAAAGCAACAGAAAAGAAAAGCCCATGGGATGTGACTTCCATAAGACTGAGGGTCACCTAGTGGTGCAGCACCCAATAGGAGACTGCATCCTTCTCAAATAAGGAATACTGTTCATGAAATATTTGTAATTATTATTTGTACCAAAATCATTGAGCAAAAGGAAAATCCAGTGCCGGTGATAAAGTGTTTCCTAGGTGGGTGGAACATTTGAATGTAGAATGTAGAGATAGGGCTTTAGGACATTCCATCTTGGACAAATACGTACATGAGATAGATAATATAATGACAGGTGGAGAGACCAGGAGCCCTAACCTGCATTCCAAGGCAAATCAAAGTCCAACGTGGCTGGACATATCTGCTGGAAACTGCTTGGGAGGTACTGTAATGGGGTATCCTGAACTACACTTCAGAGTAACCCAAGATCTCAAACAAGGGGTAGGCCCAACTCGTCTCTGAGCTTGGAACTGGGAAGTAAGGGTTTTCTCGTGCTCACTAAAAAATGTGGATGGAATAAACATAGGGGAAATTATTGGAGAGTATGCAAGGAGATCAATGTCATCAGGCATAATCACTTGGAAAAAAGGAAGGGCAAGCTAAGTGTAAGGGCAGGACTACATCTGGTGCTGTCTGTTTTTTTGTAAAATGTATGGAAATGGCCACATCATTTTTAAAGATATACCACAGAGGAAGTCTTGCAGAAAACCCTATCTCAACAGTGGGCACTAAGAAGGGCAGATAGGTTTAACACATTCTATACTCTCCCACTTTATGTGGATTTCATGTACTCCCTGTGAGACAATGCCAGCCACTTGGTGGGATCTGATGGAATGTAGTGGTTAGTTATGTTATGTTCAGTCTGGTATATTTTGCTTCCTCCATTTATTTGATGTGTTGGAATGTGCACAAAAAATAATGGTATACACATGAAGGTGCCATGAAACTTGTGAATGACATAGAGACAACATAAGAACAGCAATGAAGTCAGAAATTAAACTCAACAGGCAAAACTCACCACACTAGAGCCTCTGGGTAGACTGGAGAATAGCAACTAAAAGGAGGAAATAACCAGAGGCACATGAAACCACTCAATTATTTAAATAATGGGAAACAACTGTGTTAGGTGTAGTCCATATACCAGTCTGTAAGATCTTCTCTAAAGGCCAGAAGTGAAGAGAGGCTATGATATGTCAAATCTGGAGAGAGGTGATGTTAAAAAGTTATCAGTCGAACTCACCTAAAAAGGAATTTGTCATACAGATGACCTGACAAACCCAATTGGCTAAATTGGAAGGGGATAAGACCAACACGATGGCAGTGTCCACAAAAGGGGTAATCTGAGTGGGATAGTGACAGAGAGCTATAATTAGACATAAAAGATGCTTGGAATTGGAACAGTCACATAATGAGGAAATGGAAGGAAGAGAGATGGAGAAAAACAACTGATCATCCTCCACGGCAGTCCAAGAGTTTGGAAGAAAGGAGAGGACAGGGAACAAATTAACAGGTATTTATGATACAGAGGACAGGAAGAGGCAAGGTGTGCAAGTGCCAGGCAAGGGGCAAAAGATGTGGATAACAATGCTCAGTAACTGGCAATGATTGAAACAGACAAGGATATCAAAAAAGGTAAAGCAGAGGTCCTGAAAGTGAGTGCCTCCTTCATGGGTGATGTAAGAAATGACCACAGAAGTGTCTAAATGGATCATCATCATGAGATGACCCAAAAATTGCAACTTTAGATATTGGCAAGCCCTAAAAGCTGCAGACATCTCCAGAATGTCAAAAAAAAGACCCTATAGAGAGTGAAAGTTTTGAGAACTGCCTCTCTCAAAACCAGAAAGGAAGGCATTGGTATAAAAATGAAAGTTGGGTGGTGGAGGTGGGTGAAATACCCCAGGTTATGTTGGTGCAATCAAGTAACCATAACAGAAAGGGAGGGAAAGATGAATGGAAAGACACAAGGGTGGAAAAGGGATTGCAGAACATTTGCTACATATCCTCCACAGCCCACTGAAGGGGATGCATGTGTAGAGAGAAACCAAAAACTCTAAAAATGAGAAAACCTCATGGTCAGGAAAGAAGGATAGTGAAGAGCCTTCAAAACCAAGATCTTTATGGCATGAAGATGCAATAGAGATGGTTGAGCTCACCACATACAAGAATCAAGAAAACTCCAAGGAAGATATCAAAGATGCAGAATATCAGAGGGAATTAGGATAGGTGAGAGGAAAAGAAGAAAGAAAAGGTGAAGTACAGAAAGTAGGTTCCACAGAAAGCAATGAAACAGAATGATGAGGGACTTGAACTGGAGAAAAACTAGGCAGGAGGTAATCAACTACTTGATGTACAATAGCGAGAACATTATGTTTGAAAAACATCAGCTGCGAACATGTTGTCATAACATGGTTCACCAGAGCCCTTTCAGAATGTGGTAACTTAATATGTCCACTATAATCATTGTACCTCACCATGATAGAAATCTGCAACCTGTCATATGCAAGATGTTTGTTTTCCTAAGTGAACTAAAAAAAGAACTACTGAATGCCAATTCCATGAAGAGATGTCTCTGGTTCCAACTGTAGATATTTGGAGAAAATGTCTGAAGAGAAATGACTAGGCCTCACAACTCTTTCTTTTTCTTTCCAATTAATGTTTGAAATAGCAGAAAAAAGAAATATGGTGACTAAAGTAAATGAAGTTGCAATCAGATCGATGGAACAAAAGAGCAACGAGGACAAAAGTAATGTAGCACTAAATAATTAAAAGCAGTAAATCAAAGCAACTACAAATTCAAAAAGCACAGAAAAAAACAAAAACATATCTGAACACAGTTAATGCCAAGGAAAAAAAAGAATGAGCCTAAGATCATGTCCTAGTGCTCACGAGGAGTACTATACTTGAAGGTGATGTTGTCCTCCTATCAGTGGAGGGCTACAGCATTGTGACAATTATATCATAGGCTGGTACAAACACATAGACACATATGGTGGTGAGAATTTGTTCAAGGTCTGTGACACATGTGCAGGAAATTCCACAGTAGTTGTGTGTGAAGTAATAGCTCTTCGTGCTACAGAGAGGTCAGTATTTCTGAAATACCTCTATTTCATTGAACATCACGTACAAATTAATTTTCAATGTTTATTACAAAAAAACTGTTGGAAGCACTTTTTAACTTATGTCACATGTATACCTACTCCTTTCCTCACCTCTTCTGCCATAAATTAAATAATTGTTTAACACTGATTTGAAAGGAATGTGATTAGATGTGTTTGAATGAATGATTTATAAATTTTTATTAAAACATTCATAAATCGAACGTATTTATAATACAAATCAAGCCCCAATATAAAAACAATGCTGCGGAACCAAAATAATGTAACCGTGGCTGATAGACGGTGAATTCTGACCAATATGCAGGTCCTACTTCTGCTGTCACCTCCAAAACCAGGACACATATTATATCCCACATTATAGCCAGGTGCTCTGGTTATTATATTTTGGTTATGCAGCACAGTATTTTTGTTGGAGTTATTTTGTATTATAAAAAATGTTCTGTTACATCACAGGTTTGGTCTTGCTGTTTTTAAAGCAGTCCTTCCTTTTGATGTAAATATTAACCTAACTCTTTAAATAATGCTTATGTTTACACTATCAGGCAGCTGGTAGCACTGCCTATGTAAAGATGGCTTGGATTGTTCATCAAAATGGTATTTTAAATACTTCCTTAATACATCATCAGAACTTTACAATACTATACAGTATTTCCTTTAATAACAATATCTATACAATGATTGAGGCACAAGTTCTGGGAATTTCTGTAGATATCATAGGAAAAAGTTTGAATTTCTTGTTTTTCTGCTGCTTCTTTTTTATTACATGAGACTCAAAAACCAAAACAATGATGTCAACCAATTTTACTGAAGTGACATAGTTTCAAATGGAGTATCCACTTTTATAAGCATTATTAACTAGTAGTAATTTAACAAAAATCATAATTCTAGTGTATAAACGATGTTATCATTACCCTTGAAGTTAGCTTTTTTACAGAACTTTGGTGTTCCTTTAAAAAGCTTAAGTAGAAGGTGAAACAGGAATTACTAACCAATAATAGATAAACAATAAACATTACAGTTGGAGCCTCATTGTATTTAGAACTTGGTTATAAATACAACCTTCCTATGTCTATTGAAACACTGTATTAAAAAAACAAGCAAACAAGTAACGAAAAAAACTTTTCACAAAAGGAAGTAAATGTAGGGATGGCTAATATCAATCCTTCACAAACAATACAAACAAGATAGTAGGGATGGCATTTACATCATTCCTACATACTAACATAGGCACACAATGTAGCAGAATGTTAACGGACAAAAATAGGATAAATTGAACTAAACCGTGATTGAACAGTTATATATATTGCTATATGTTAATTCTTGCCTGTGCTATTATGTAGGAATGATACAAATGCCATCCCTACTATATTTTTTCCATTGTTTTTGAAGGATTGGTATTAGCCATTCCTGCATATACATGCTTTTTTGAAAAGTTTTTTTCTTTACTTGTATATTCATATACATAGATATATGAATATAGACAGAAATAAAGTAGAAAAGATGAATTAACTGAATTGAAATAGCTAAATATGTAACAGGCACAAATGCATCACTTTCAGCTTGTCTGTAAATGTACTGTATTGTAATGGAAATTCCATCAGTTGTACAAAGTGCTAACCAACAAAAATTCAGAAATGGTTTTGAAATAAATGGCCACAATTTGAAGCTTAATCATCAATCATGTAAAAGTATGTATCAAAGGAAATAAAAAACTTAATGAAACAAAATGGAACAATTGGAGGTTCCACACATTCGCTAAACATTTAGTAAATAGAAGTCCTTTGTAAGTTAACAATTTGTAAATTAGCAATTCTTCGTCCTCCTAGAAATTAGATCTGTAGTTCTTTGCTGTTAAACCATCCATTTTTCTAAAGAGAAATACTTAAAATCCAACTTGTTAGAAATATATGGGAATAACAATAGAAAATAAATAGCTTAAGTCTACTATCACAGCACAGGATAATATCAGCCACTCATATTATGAATGAAAAAGAGCCTTTATGCCCTGTGGTACCCTTAGACTGTTGACAAGTGAAGAATGAAATCAGTATCCGTAAATGACAAGACATAATTTAAAGGATCGCTCTTTGGACTATAAGTGGAAATTAAACATTTCTCACTTAAAACAC